AAGTTTATTAATGTAATTTTTATATTTGTGAGGGCCTTTTGTTGTTGAAATTTTTAGATTAGAAAATTCTAAGTTCATCATTAGTGTAGCATATCTTAAAATATACTACGAGACCATTTACCTTTGTTACATGAAGGTCACAAATACCTCTGGCCATCCAATTTCAAATTGGTTTGTTTGAGTTGTAACAAAGTTTGAGAAATTTTTCTTTGAATTTTAAATCTAATAAATGATACACTCACAACCACCTGATTTGAAATCTAACGGACAAGAGTGATTATGATCTCCTTGTACCAAAAGCAAATGGTCTATTTATATACTTTTCCATTTATATACATATGTATGTATGTATGTTTGTATTACCTTTGGAGAAAGTACTTGCCAATCACCTCTCATAGATGAATTTTGACGACGGTACCCCTTTTGGCCTCATCACAAATGTGAGGAGGAAGTGCAAGTTTTTGTGTTACCCTGGGAACTGCAAGGACAGAAACCATCATATTGAAAATAAAGACCTGCAGGGGTTCCATCATACAAAGGACCAGTCATGTTTTCCCTTTCACAAAATCAATAAGAGGATATTCTTGTTCTTATCTTCTCCCGAGTTAAGCTTGATCAATCAAATTGTTAGCTGAGAAGAGTTAATTTGTTGAGCCGGTTATAATTGTTAAAAGCGAGTTGCAGAGGAAAAACTTTAGAATAGTCTAAACTATGTGTCAATTTGGTAGACGTGATTCAAGTCTATGAGTGATACGAATTATGCTTTGCGAAACTCGTACAACATGCTCATTTCTACTATCTGCATTCATGAGGAACATGATGTTTGTTTGGAAATATTACGAAGTGGTTGGCTTTTGTGCTGGTGTGTACATGTTCAGAACTGCCATGGAAAGATATTTATAAGCCATGTATGATGCATTATACAAGAAGTTTTGCCTAATAAAATAAAAGAAAAAGCAGACGGTACATTGTTGAAAGTAGAATGAAATATAAATTATTTAACTGGAGTATAACGTATTGGGTAGCAGTTAAATTGGATCCAACAATGAACTTCTGTTAGAGTAGTGATTATCTTAACTTTTTCTAATTTTACGTCTGTTGGTTGTTTCTTCCCATTACAGGCCAAGCGGTAAACCACCCATGGGAAGGGGTCATAGGAGAGAGAACAAGAAACATAGGCACTCTGATGATGACGAATTAGATCCAATGGATCCAAGTTCATATTCGGATGCACCTCGTGGTGGATGGTAGGCATTTCCTTATCTACCTATATGCTATGCATATTAGCCTTGGACTTGTAGAATAGTCATCAAATATGTATTTTGACTGACAATGCCTGCGATTGTGCTGTCTTTCAAGCTCTGACAATCACCATATATTTACATATAATATCCACTTGCATTTAAAGAGGCAAAAGAAGATAACATCTACGTGAAACATATGTGGAATAAGTAGGGAGAAAATTAGTTTTAGGAACATTTGTCGCATATGTTATTTTTGGGGATACGATAAATATTTCTTTGTGATTATTAGCTGATGCCTCATATTACACAGGCTTCTGTTCTACATTGAGCTTCCATCATAAATATTAATTTGCTGATGACGATGTTGCAGGGTAGTGGGCCTCAAAGGAGTACAGCCACGAGCTGCAGATACCACTGCTACTGTATGTTTTTGCATCATGTGTGTGAATCTTCTTGTTGATGCAGTGCAATGAACTGAGAACCTGTCTTGGGAATTGTTTTGCAGGGTCCACTTTTTCAGCAGCGGCCATATCCATCACCAGGTGCCGTTCTTCGTAAGAATGCAGAAATTGCTGCACAGAGCAAGAAGTCTAACCATCACTATGCACCAATTTCAAAGAAAGGAGATGGAAGTGATGGTTTAGGGGATGCCGACTGAGACATCTCTCTCTCTCTCTCTCTCTTTCACTCTGGTATGTTAACATTGTTCACGGGGAGAGGTTTGGTTGGGGGATGGGTTGTGTTTGTTGTAAATTATAAATATTGGTATATGTAGGTCATGGTGTCATTCTTGGATAATGCCAAAGAGTTTTGTAGTTGAGAGTGACAGATATTTTGTGAATTTTTTATTTTTTTGGAATAAAGTTGAATCCATTATATATCGTATCTAAGGAACAAAAACTTCTCTCGCAAGCTGTGGTTGCCATTCTTAAATGTTGCAGAAAGAAAGAAACCTTGGTGATCCACCAGGAAAGTGACAAAAAAGGGGAGAAGGGAAAGAAGATAGGGGAAGAGACCTTGGGCCTTAACTCGCCTGCCAATTCAGTGCCTTACAGACCAGAATTAATGGACCCTTTTGTGTTTTAGGGGTGAGTGAGAAGCTGCCAACATTGTGTGATTGGTCCCTCCATTGCAAGAGTATTTGCTCAAGCATTGGCCTCTCTCCTCTGTGGTGAAGGAGGTTCCTAGGGGTCTGTTGAGTTTATTGACCTCGTTGAAAACATGTTCTAGACAGCAGAGCAGGCGGACATCTGTTTGGGACAATTCATGACTTCACCACCAAGGGGGAGCCCCATGATTGCTCGACCCCACTAGGAGTGCTCGTACCTCAGAACACTGCTCTTATGCTGCCAATTCACTAGAAAAGGACAACAGAACAGAAGCTGCAGCCACCAGTATCTGCCTTCACTGGATTATCATAGGTGCACCTAATGGAGTTCATTTTGATTGTGCCTGGTTCTTGGGGAATCCAGTGCATGGATCTTGGTAATCTCATGGGGTTGGACTTTGAAATATTGTATCAATTCAGTTAGAAAAGTCCGAAGTGGAGAAGGAAGTGAAAGTCCTTGGTGCAGCCCATCCAGGTACAGTGGACATGAATGTCTTTCAACTATTGGAAGTGAGATTTCCCCCTTAAGATGACTCCTATTTAGCTCCACCCATATGGTTCAAACCAGGATCAACATTGAGGCCTTCCTTAGTAGAAGGCCTGATGCTGGAGGTGGGGAGTAGTTGCCGATGCATGTAGGCAAGACCTACAGAGTGCCAAAGGAAGGGCCATAATTGACAATCGAATTCACAATGTAGACACAGTTGATGCCGATTCTTCGCCCTTTTTACATATCATGCAGCGATAAGGTAATGGATCCCGCTTCCATGCAAGGGTCCAGGTCGAGGGTCCTTTTGTTAACCGTAACTAGCAAAGAGCCTGGTTTTTAGGGAAGACAGGTAAACCAGGCTTTTGCGGGCCACCAGCAAGGTGAATGCGCTTGTTAGGTGGTGGCTATACCAGAGTGGTGGGTGGACTTGTTAGGAGGAGGTTATAGAATGAGGTGCTATATAAACCTGATCTTAGTTGGCTGGCACCCATCCAATTCTCTCACTGCCCTGCCTAAGGATAAAATGGGAGTTGAGGAGAGGAAGTACTTTTAGCTCTTGGACTTCTTGATCAGTATGGTCTCTCTTGGATCTTGACCAAAATGTGCCCCCAGTTCTTCGTAATTGTCCAAAATGCTAAATTTTTTATTAGTTAATAAGAAGTATAGGTTAGGAATGGGCTCAAAGCTAGGTGGTTAGGGGTGCAGGTAACTACAACATAATGTCTTGAGTTTCATTTCTATTACAAATAAGGGATCCATTCCCATTGAACCACCCAAAAAAATGAACAAATTGGGTAGGTCTTTTGGAAAAAAATGAGGCTCCTTGTTTTTTTCTAAAAGTTGGGTATAAAAATGAGGCTCTTACTTTAGGCATCTCTGGAGTTGTGGAGGCCATGTCTTTGTCAAATAACCGTCTTCCAAAGGTGGTCCTCTTGAGTTGCAAAATTCTACTGCTTTCAGCAAAGCTACATTCGTATCTTTCAGTCATTGGATGCCAAGCCCACCATTTTTCTTTGGTTAACAAATTTTCCTACTTAGATTAGGTGGTTTGACTATAGTTGTTGGAAACACTTGTGATTTCGAATCATATTAGAAATTGAAATCACAGAAGCGGAGGTGTCAAATGACTCCTATAGTTAGAATTGTCATCCCCAAAATGCAAATTCATTGTAATAAGATTCCCTTCCTATAGTTGATTTTCATGGCCGTATGGAGTCGCATGTCATTCCCCTCGACTGATGAGGTCTAGAATTGTGAACCGTGCAACTGTCGCATCCACATTCTATATTAAGCAAAATTGGAATTTTGGCTTGAATCTTTCCTTTTCCTTTCTATTTCTATTAGTTGATTCAATAGAGAGGAGAATAATGATATATCTATTGTTACTCAGCATCCTTTTGAGTCCTACTCCCTTTGATATTCTAGAACAACATGAGATTCTTTTAGGTTCTTGCCTGCAGGGTTGACCAAAAAGGTGAGCTTTCACATGAGTATAGGATCTCGCAAAATGTCTCTCTTTACAATTAAAATTACATGCCTATTTGTACTCCCTAATCCCGTTGTGTCTACCCACTACAATTATATTCCCAAAGGAAGTTTTTCTGGGCTCTCAAACCTCATGTTCTGATTCTGATGCCTCAGTTGCATTATCGACTCGAAAACTTCAACATGAACTTCTTCAACCACCATGACTGTTACAACTTGTGTATAGATTTCGTACATGGTGTTCTATAAACCATATCAAAGTGTCTGCAAAAAAGTGTGAAAGTGGAAGTGCATCATCAACTTCACTCCCTCCATCTCCCTACATACATTCATCATCACCTCACCTCTCTCTCTCCCCATCTCTCTCCCTCACTCCCTCCGTCTCTGCCTAACCACCCCCTCCCTCCCTCCCTCCCTCCCTCTCTCTCTCATCCTACCCTCACACCCTCTACTTACATGACTCCCTCGCTCGCCCATCTCCATCCCATTTAAAAATTGGCTTGCCCACCCCATATGCTCACATTCTATCTCCAAGCCCAAGAGATGAAGAAGAGTGGCAAAGAAACTATATTACTTAAGGCATAAAAAAACAGGCATCATAGCAACCACAAATTTACCTGCTTTATCTGCCTCTTACTATCATCCAAAAAAAAAGAAAAAGAAAAGAAAAACTATTCTTTACCTGCTTTACCTGCCTCCTACTATCATCCGAGTTGATACGACGACGGAGGACAGGCTGCTAAAACTTAACGAAACTCTGAGGCCCGAGAACTACTTCCTTTGCCTATGCTTCCCTTGTTGCAGATTGCTCTGCTCCATTTTGGTAAGTAAGACATACTGACATACCACTGAGCAGCGCCTTCTTACGGTCACAGTAGCTTCTTATAGACGACATTGCGTGGTCCTTTCTGAATGAATACATAATGTGGCAAAAGATCATATTTTCCTTTTTGTGTTAGCTCTCATAACATATTTTTACAAAAATAAAAACATGCTCTAGGTTGACATGCCTAGGAATTTGTGGTCCGGGATCACAACTTAAGCTCACCTAGTTTTGTCATGGTGATCTACAAGCCGCTAGAATGAATATAGATCGAGGTGTAGAAAAAAGAAAATTAGAATAGGCCTACACCATGATATCTAAGGGCTGAATAGGAGTACACCATGATAGCTGTAGAAAAAAGAAAATTAGAATGCAACTTAGGGCTGAATAGGTGTAGAAAAAAGAAACTTGGAATACAACTTAGAAAATTAGAAAAAAAGAGAATTAGAATACAACTTAGAAAATTAGAAAAATTAGAATACAACTTAGAAAATTAGAATAACACTTAGAAAAAAAGAAAATTAGAAAATTAGAATACAACATAGAAAAAATTAGAATGCAACTTAGAAAATTAGAATACAACTTAGAAAAAAAGAAAATTAGAAAATTAGAATACAACATAGAAAAAATTAGAATACAACTTAGAAAAAAGAAAATTAGAAATACAACTTAGAAAATTAGAATACAACTTAGAAAAACTTAGAATACAACTTAGAAAAAATTAGAAAAAAATTAGAATAAAAATTAGAAAAAAAATTAGAAAAAAATAGAAGAAAAAAATAGAATACAGCTAAGAAAATTAGAATACAACTTAGAAAAAATTGGAAAAAAAGAAACATTAGAAAAAAGAAAATTAAAATACAACTTAGAAAATTAGAAAAAAGAAAATTAGAATACAACTTAGGGCTGAATAGGAGTACACCGTGATATCTAAGGAAAAAGAAAAAAGCTCATAGCATGACATCCACCACAAGAAAAGCTCATAGCAAACACAATAGTAAATTAGAAAGAAGGGTCTCAAATATGCACTTCCATCACCATTGAAAATCTCATGACTAAAAAGTTCAATACCAAGCCATAAAAACACAGGAAATACACAAGCACTAACAACCAAAGGAATTGAGTAATGTGAGAATCAATTTTAAAGGAAAGTATATAAAAAGATTATTTATTTTTAATACATAGTGTTTCCAATCACTTTTGTCCGTAAGTTTTCAGATCGGATGGTTGTGAGTGTATTATTGACGAGACTCCAAATTCAGAAAAGAATTTTTCGAACTTAAGATACACTTCAAGCCATCCAATTTAACATTTAATGATTAGTACTAATTGTGACCTCCTTGCACAAAAAATAAATGATCTCATAATATACGATTCCAATTTCAAAAGAGTCCTGAGACATAATTTGTAGGGAACAACATGGACAACTCATTAGAATCAAAGGCATTGTGGGTGCATCCTCAAACACCTCAGCATCTTGGTTGAGAGTGGCCACGTCTTCCTCATTCTTCTCAACCCTCATTCTTAGAGCATCAAAACTGACGTCAAGGGCAGCAGCACAGCAATATTGAGGCTCACGCTAAGGGGCTGTTTGGGTCCATGAAAAAAAGATTACTTGGAAAAATTGATTTCCTTTGAAAGGTATTTCAAGAAAATATTTCTTATAAAATAGAATCTGACTGTTCGGATGGTACATTGATGCATAACATTTTCATTTTTTTAATTTTTTTTTTGTTATATTATTCATTATAATGTCATTTTTTTCATTAAATTTAAAATAGTTGCTCTCTCTAAATATTTGAGATTATTTCCTTAAAAAAATTTCAAATAGTTTCTCTCTCTAAAATTTGATGTCGTTTCTCTCTATACAATTTTAAGATATTTTCTCAACTTAAGTTTTTGAGATAGTTTCTCTCTTTAAAAGTTTTTAACTATTTTCTCTCTCTAAAATTTGATATAGTTTCTCTTTAGC